CGAGCTCTTTGGAGGGACAAGTCAGAACTTCGTCGGGTACCGAAGGCCCAGCAGAGATCTGCATGGCCGATGAACATTGATCCTCTGATGCAGCGAACAACGTCTGAGCGCTCTCTGTTCGTTGTAGGGAATCAGCTCGGTTCTTTAAATCAATATGTGAAGGAAAGTGAACATCGATCAAGCCACACCTGGATTTCGGTTCTCAGGGTCGTGTTTATACGTGCAGCTTTCCCTGCGCAAAAGAAAGTCAAACACAAAAATGAACTTGGTAAGACGCGATGAAGTTGGGAGTCACCAGTGCTTTCAAAGAGCGGAGGAGAGAAAGAGAGAGAGAGGGGTCTCAGTAGGTGACACTATACCCAGGCCAAGGAGTCCGGTCCCGATCGACGACCACAAACTCAAATCGAGCTTCGGTGTCACCCCATTCATCTTTCCAGTTCTTTCGCGCCCGCTTCTCAAACGAACGCGCATCGGCCTCTGAATGAAACCTCAGCTCTCCACACATACGTGATGTGCCTGCAAATCGATAAAGCGTCAGTTCATACGGTACCCCCGGTGCTCGGTCGTTGGGGTACAGAGTTTCTGTAAGATGATGGAAGACATCTAGTGGCTTGAGCTCAAGACTCGACGGTAAATTGGAGATCAGAATTGAAACATTTTTGGGCGGTGTGATGGTTGGCGGGCCCCTCAACGATGGAGGCGTCAATGCCCGCTGTTTGGCCTCGGCTTTTGGGCGTTCTGACTCAACGGGCGCAGGTAGAGTGGGTGTGGGTTGTGATGAGGACAGGTCTCGCTGATAGTGGTGATGATGCTCCCGCGCGCTATGGGGCATGGCAGAGATGTGCGAACGCGGAGACAATTGCGAGTCTCGCCTTCTCGAGCTTGTGCTATGAGCAGGCGAAGGTAGCCGGCGATAGTTTCTCGGACCCCGAGGCGGCGAACGTCGACGTTCATACAGCGGTGGTGATCGTGAATATCGCGAGCGTGAATATCGATACCGAGGGCTGAGGGGCGAACGTCCCCGACTGCTGGCGCTGAGCGGAGGCGGGGAATATCGCCCACGTCTTCCCCCTGGTGATCGCGATCTGGAGCGGTATCTGCGTTTGAGGTGCATCGCGTTGGAGGTTCTTCTCCAATCTGCCGAAGGTCTGGGAGACAAGCCTCGGTCGATGTTTGGTTTATGATCTTCATAACGAGACGAGTGACGGAATTCGGAGGTAGAGGCCGTGTCAGGCGAGCGCCGGCCAAGTTGCAGAGGTGCTGGATGGATCGGTTTAGGGATCGTACGTTCGAGTAAGCTTTTAGATGTGGGGATGGTACTAGACGTCGAGGTGAGTGACAAGCCAAGCCGGTCTCGTAACCCGGCGGGAGCAGGCACTGACGGAATCGTATTTGCTTCCCTAGCTGGAGTGCCAGATCTTATGGATTGTTCACCAATCCTGGCTAATAGGCCGTTCTGCCCCTGTTTGTTCTCTACCATGCTTCGACCCTCTTGATCTGCAAGCTTTATTGCGTTCTGATGTGATTCGAGTCGATGGCTCAACGAAGGCGGTTTAGGCTGTGGCGGATGTGTCAAGACGGTGAATCTAGAATCTTCCTTCGTCTGGCGGTGATGTGGATGAGAGCATTCATCAGGAGAACCATCAGGTTTGTGCATGATGGAGCTAATCAAACCGTCGATACCATCCTCCTTTCGGTAGCCGTGATCATTGGATTCATGAACTGGAAAGAGCGAATGTGGTACGGTGGAAGATCGAGAGTCAGGACGTGGAGCTTGAGAGCTTTGCAAAGGGGGTTTGTGAGAGGTAGATGACTGATCACCAAACATATTCTCTGGTTCTCGATGACGATCAAGATGATCATTGGCTTGAGCGCTGAAAGAGTTCCGAGTTCGTTCGTTAAGGACTCGACGGTCAGCGTTCGGATGTAGATGGCCACGTGGGGCGGTAGAAGGCGGAAGGCGTTCGAGCAGGGAAACATACGGGGGTGATTTTCCTGAAAAGAATATGTAAACGATCAAAGTCAGTTTTGTGGGCTTTGATGATCTAAATGATCGATTACCTCGTTGATGTTGACCGCTCATTTTGTCTTGAGGTCCACCTGAGAGGTGGGCATCATGTGCCATTCTAGATAAGAGTGAAGCTTTCCGAGAAAGCGCGTCTTGATCTTCCCCATCGGCTTTTACTATTTTTTGTTGAGCATTTTGAGCCTTTCCCACGTCCTCGTCTGAGACCTCACCATCTTCTTTGTGAGCTTGACCTGCTTGGCCTACCTTGCGAACTGGTTTCATTCGACCTAAGAGCAGACCAGAGTTACGGGTCCTACCGAGCAAAGCATCGGCAATGGCTTCCGAATCATCATCGTCACTACTTTCATCAGCGTATGAAACTTCTTGAAAGTTCTCGAGTTCGTTTGATGAGACTTTGATGGGTTCAAGTGTAGTTTGTGGTGAGTGAGACTGAAGAGCTGAATGAGATCGATTAAGAGTAGCGGTTGACATTGGGTTTTCATTCGATTGATTGTGATGATTGAAAGTTGAATCGGACAAGTTGGATTTCTTGCTTCCAGGTCCAAATAACGGTTTGAAGGATGAATTGGTAAGAGAGTAATCAGGACGTTGACCAGTAAACCTACCTTTACCCGGTCGCTTGTGATAGAGAGGGGTCTTAAGGTTAGTTAAGTTGTGAGTGTGAGTATGAGTAGAAGGATGAGGAGGTTGTTTGAAGTTTAATTTGGGTTGATGATTAAGTCTAGAATGTAATGAAGAATGAGTTGAATTAGTTGGTTGAGGTGACATGATGAAACGAATCGAAAAAAAAATAAAAATAAAAAATAAATTACAAATCTGAATCAAAAAAAAATAATCAAGTTGAGTTGACATCGATCAAACCAAATTATCAAAATAAAAATAAAAAATCATCAATTTCGGTTGATTTCTCTATTTATTTAATCAACTCATCCCATCTCATCATAATAACTTAAACCTTGAGCCTTTTATCAAAGTGATTTTCTATGTACAATCTACATCTTTCTTTCAATTTGGTTTATCCGTCCCAAGTTTACTTTTGGTCTGTCTGAGAAAATCGAATTGAGGTTATGAAAAGGGCAGACATCATTTTTTTATTTTGATATGCAAGATAAAGACCCCGTGCGTTTTGAAACAAGTCAGTGGACCACTACTTGAATATTTAACCTGTTTCAAGTTTTAAGTACTTATGTACTAAGTAGATTGTCACAGACCATACTAATTCAGTTTGGTCTCGTGACAACGGTTGTGAGGTTTAACTATTTACCAAAGCTGTGATGGCTTATAAATTACTTTCAAACTCTAATGTTTGGTCGCTCCCTCGCTCGGTCGGTCACCCTCCCTTAAGACCACGGCCTGTGTCAGCCAATTATTCTCAATCTTTCATTTTCTGTCCTCTTTCTCCTCCTTCATCACCCCAAATCACACACACACTCACATTTTAAAACTCTCATCACAATCCATCCAAAAAATGACTCATCGCTTAACCAACCTACTCTACTTACTTCTCGCCCTTCCCATCTCAACTTGGGCCGCACCTCGAGTCGACCTTGGTGGTGGACATATGGGTCTCGCTCAAGTTAACACTTGCCCTAATCAACCCCCTAGTAGTTATAGTTGTACCGAACTCGATGACGATTGGCCAGATCAAGGTTTAGCATGTCCTGAGGCAGATCGCGATATTCCTCGTCATACATTAGCCATCATGTCAGCCATGATGATTCAATTAGGGAAATATAAACCTGTAAAGAAAGAGGAGTTTCCGATCGATGAATGTTATACTTCGAAACCTAATAGTACTGTTACCGATTATGGTTTTATCAGTCAAGGTACCTTTGATATGTGTGAGTAATTTTGTTTTTATAAAACAAATAAATAAAAAAAGGTGGAAAAGCGGGTTCCCCGATGATTAACTCTTTTTTTTGTCTTTTGTAGGGCTATTTGCACACGATAAGTGCGAATGCAAGCCAGGATCGTTACCCGTTTGTAACGATCAAGCAACTGAAACTGATAAATGTAACCTGCGCACGTTAGTCACTCACTTCTATCTATATTTCAATTCTTTCATACTCACCTCACTCTAACTCTCAACGTCATCCTTCAATCTTTCTACTTTCATAGGTTCACTCTATGTAAAGTGACCAAGAAAGGTACTACATGTAAACCCAAGTCAGTTATTTTCCCTTTTTAAATCTCCAGTATCGTTGTCTTTGCTCATCTCCTACTCACGTACTTAGACATCACGCCGGCTGGAAGCCATTGCCGATAATCCCGGATCGTTTGGCCAATTCTGATCCTACTTCGCCCGTCGACCCAGATGAGAAACCACCTCAATCTGGTTCCACTCTCGAAGTTGTATCCCAATCCGATCTTGAACAACAATTACCGTCAATTGAACAGCAGCAACAAACTTTCAATATTCGGGACGGTCATTCTTTCTCTTTCATGTCCTTATCAGCCGGTTGGTGGAAGTTACTGGAGCTTTTGGGAATCTTTGGTGTCTTGTAGAACTTTCAAAATCACTCAAATCTCTTGTATATTTGATCTATCTAGTTTGTGTTTTTGATGTACTGTGTAGTCTTCATACTCTCGTGGACATCCATCCATCAACTGTTTTTTTGTTTCTGTTTTGTTTTTTCTCTCCAAATATCATCTATTCAAAAAACAAACTATAACACTTTGGGTATCTTGGTTATTCAGTCTATCTGGTTTATCAGTATGCTACCGAATCGTAACACACATGAGTAATTTACGAACGGAACTAACACTTGATTGATAATCTTTACTGAAAAGGTAAATCAACATAGGAAACATCAAAGCACAGTTTCAGCCAATTAAAGCTTCTTGGTGGACCATTGAAAGAAGAGAATTTAAAAAAAAAAAGGAGGTATTTCAAATCGAGAGTAGCTATAGGGAAAAAAAATGGTGATAAAAAAGAGATTCTATATTGTTGTTAATGAGGATCGTTGTTCAAGGCCCTTTGGCCAAGTGGTAAGGTGTTCTCCTCCGGTGCATGTCTCCTCCATCTCTCTCTTCCTATATAGGGATTGAGGGTTGGGTTGGCAGAGCAGTGTAAGAGAAAGATCGCTGGTTCAATCCCAGCATGGGTCGTTTTTCTTCTTTTTTTTTTCCCAACTCAAATCTAGATTATGTATATATAATACAACGTATATATATATGTATATATATATAAGTTTGATATAATTAAAGTCAACATATAAGTAAGTATTAAGAGAAGAAATAGAGTATCAATCATCACGTGGTATATGAACAACTTTTAATTTCCTTTTTGTTTTTTTTTTGTGTGTGTGTGTGTGGCTCACACAGATGAATGAAAAACTGCCACATACACACACACACAACAAAATGAACGAATGAATGATACCCTTTCTGGAGAAAAAAAAAAAAAAAAAAAAAAAAAAAAAAAAAAAAAAAAAAAAAAAAAAAAGATGACATGATCAAGAAGACTCAAACAAGTTGAGATCTGTTTTACAAAAAAAAAAGAAAGAAAGAAAGAAAGAAAGAAAAGGGAAAAGGTATTATTTTTAAGATATATATATATATATATGCTATATAAATCTATACAGTCTAAACAAACAAAAAAAAAAAAAAAATCATTGAACGAGCTTCTTTGGCAACTTTTCAAACTCTCCCAAGTGACCTCCTGCTTTCTCCAAAGACTCGATACATGATTGATGATTATTTAAAATGGCATAGTATAAGGGCGTATGCCCAAAATCGTCACGAAGATGAACAGATGCGCCATGATCGAGGAGGAGGTCTAAATTTTGACTTTGGCCGTGAAAGGCGGTGACATGGACAGCTGTCTGACCGAGCCCAGTCGAACCACGGTGGTTGAGTAGACCTGCTGGTACACCTGCTGAGATAAGCTGACGCAAAGAATCATCAGAGCGTCCTGCAGCGGTGAGAAGTGCATATGGAATCAGACAACTCTCGGCTTGCTCAAGTTCCTCTCGACTAATCTCGCTCCGGATAAGTTCTAGTCCGATGTCCGAGCTTGTCTTCTCGAGCTGCTCACTCGGTCCTCCTTCCAAATCTGGTCCGTTCTTCAGTCTCGGGCTGGCTTGGCCTAATAGTTCGGATGAAGCATGAAGAGTGCATAGGTTGAGATCAGTCAGATCTGAAGGACTCGGGCGTTGACATTCTAAATGTCTGTTCTAACCTCGAGCGCCAAGACCAGCGCATGCCATCTGTCCAATCAACCATTTCAGTCGATCCTCTGGGGCCAAAGGCTCATACTGAACACGTGCAGGGGGGGTTAACTCGCCACGGATCGATTGTCCAATCAACCCTCGTACGGCGTCCACAGATAGTCCTGGCTTAGAAAGCAAGTATCCTAGTTTCGCTAACGCGCACTAACGTCCGTACGATCGATGAAAAATAACAGAGTATCAGATCTTAGATCACAACCTATATCATAATGTCAAATGTAAGAAATCCACTACCTCAGTTGTCATATCTCTGCCACCAACAATCCCCACCTCGGCTAACGCTCTTCCAGTTTCATAAATGTCACTTGAAACAGTCCCCTTTGTACACTGGGTCACATTCACAATCACGACACCACGCTCTGAAGCTTCCTTGAATCCTTGTAGTAATTGTGGTCTTTGAGGTGCATTACCCGACCCAAATGTCTCTAGCACGATTCCCTGAATAGGTGGTTGGAGGAAAGCTCGTACTGATGCTGGAGTAATACTAGGAAACATACGAAGTACAGCTGGCCAGTGAGATAAAGACACGTACATCCATCAGTTCAAGCACCTGATAATCATTTTGTGAGTGAGACCTAACCAACTGACCAACATTCTCACACATCGTACCATGGACTTTGAACGCTTGTCGTTCGACAGGTTTTGAAATAAGATCCCAACGTACTTCAACATTGCAACCGACTTTGATCAATGGCTCGAGATTGAAGCTCCTGAAAGCATCAAATTCGACACTACTAAACTTAACCGTTCGATTCCCACGCCATAACTGATGATTGAAGTAAAGCGAAACTTCGGGGATAAGGTAACTACCACCTATATGTAAAGCTCCTAGTAAATTGTCCACCGCGTCGTTTCGTGGACTGGAGAGTGGAATTTGTGCCCCCGTCAAGATGACGCTTTTCCCAAGATTTTCAAGAAGAAATGAAAGTGCAGAAGCCGTGTATGACATTGTATCGGTACCATGAAGGACAACGAATGCGTCGAAAGCGTGATAATTTGCTTGAATCGAGTGACAGATTTGGAGGTAGTTGGCCGTCTCAATTTCGGCGGAGTCAATTAATTTCTCATACTCCAAGATAGCATATCTGAATCATTTGAACCCGTAAGACGAATGGAACACTTCATGGGTCTCAAGGGGCAAGATTTCGCAAACTGACTGCACACTACTAAAATGAACGTGACCGACCTTATCCTAGGACATTCGGGACTTTCGGGCATTACGAGGCTATCTAGCCATTTGGGACCAGCCTCAGTGTTCACCTTGATTTGGCTTCTATCACCTTCAGATGTGTTATGTGTCTTCTGATCTTCGCTGTGGTCTGAATGCGGTTTTGAGCTCTGCTCAGGCTTTGAAGAATCATCCGCGAACGTAGCTGTCGAGGGAGGTGTATATGACGGCGAGTTGGATTTCCATGATTGGAAAGCAGCAACAGAACGACTATTGGCCCAAAGGGAGCTAGCCGCAGGGTCGTGAAAGCGTGGCTGAGACCGTAGGCTGAGGTCAGGGCATACACCCGAACATCAGGAAGTACGTCAGCCTGGTACATGACTTGGCTTCGTATGAAAAGATCGGCTGGACGGAGAGGACTGACTGTTCGGACAAATAGCCAGATAAAGGACTATAACCTCGGGGGCCTGATAGCATACCGATGGTTCCTGAAAACAAGAACCATGATTATGTTACCCAAAACGCCGGAGCATTGTTTGGGTTTGTAACTCAAGTTGTTAGTTACTTACCTCCCGTATAGATCACCAAGACGCGAGACTCGTCGTTATCTGTGGACATAATTGGATTTGAGGATGATGAGCACATATCTAAAATCCACCTAAGAGCCCAAATGAGAGCGTGGTAGCAGAAAATCACAGCAAAGGCACGGGTTTGCTCTTCCTCATCGCAGAGATGCAGGGGATATGACCGAAGCTTTGTGCACCTGGAAGTGAAGGGGGGGATTGGATGGATAGGAACCGAGCGAGAAGGACATTCGAATGATGAAACAGATATATGACAGTCCTGGTTACAGGTGCGTGCATTGTGGACGACGTTAACCGATAGAGTACTCTTAAAAATGGAAGACGCACCTCGTATTTGGGTGTGAGACTTCATTTCCGTCTGTCGTGCCTCGTGAGGGTCAAAAATTTCAGAAAACGTTATGAAGGCCAAAGTGGAATTGAATCGCAACTTCGAGGATCAATGATCAAAAAACACGCAGTCGATCGTGAGATTTTTAGGGCCTTCGCTGTAATGTAAATATAGTGTTCCCCAAATTCGATTGTTCGCGCAAGGAAAAAAAACTGTTGTTTGAGCTTCAGATTAAACGAAAAAGCACTCTAAAGAGTTTTTAGGCAAGAACAGAGTCAGTCGTGAAGGTGTAGAAAAGGGATTATACCCATCCATTTTCACTCACAGTCCGATCGGTTCGTGTGACGCCTGGGGAAACTGTGCTCGTTGGTCGTAGGTCAGTCGGTATTTATATGCAAAACACACTGCCCGTGAATCGGACTGTCTTGTGCGAGAGTGCAATGTGGTAGTACTGGATCAGGCACGGTTGAAGACGGATACACTTCTTGAAGTGGAGAAATTAAAAATTAGGCCAAACCTTTCCTGATCGAGAAAATGAGGTTCAAAAATCGGATCAGAAGAGACTCGTCAGACCATCAGCCAACAAGCGGTGCACTAAAATGTAAGTATGTATAGCAAACCACACAGATCTCGTCACACAACCCCTACCACCAACACTCAAGAGTCATTTATTTATGGGATGACTCTGAAACTATCGCTCTGTGAAACTGGGATTGTTAGGTAAATGATTTGTTTTACCAGTCAACTTGCCTAACAGACTTTTTATCGTCTGTACTGATTTGGAAGCGGAGACAGTAATACCCTCTCGCACTGTGGGTACATTCCTCGTGTATGGGCACCAAAGCTCGACCATCTCCTCAACTTATTTAAGGGCCTCTCCCATCCCACGGGGGTTCAATTAAGACCGACCACGGATGTGTTTGGCAGGGATCCAACAAGAGCGACAGGTAACACAAAAGATTAGCCTGATAATTTCAAAATAAGTGACTGTATCTTACGATTTCGTATTGAAAAGTTCTTTTGACAACAGACATCATCCAAAATTGGTATCACACGTTCAATGGGTTCTCTCAAATAACATTTTCATGTTTCAAACAAAGTCTTTGGAAAACGTACAATGCAACCTGAGTCTTGCGTTATTATACTATACTTACAATGTCATACCACTCCACCAAGTTTTGGCTGAAGTGGAGAAGATCTTGTCGTCAATTACAAGTTGGGGACTAGGTTTCCCATCAATTGGTGAGGAATCTCTCAGTCAAAATGTTGTTCATCAACATGGCCAAGTGTATTGATAATCAAGAACATTGCAAGATACGAGGAGGGTCTTAGGCGGCCAACTGCCGAAACAGCATTTGGTGGGCTTTGGAGGGGTTTTCAACATAGGATTTAAATGTGTTGGGCACACCAGAAGGCCAGAGAGGCATATTGGCCAGCTTCCAAAATGGATAAGAACTAAGTATGACCATCTGATTGATGCAGAAGCCTTTACGGTATTGTAGTCAGATTCGTAGAAAATTCTGATTAGTGTTGGAATATGGCCACTGGGGGCATTGAGTAAAATTCTCAAGTGGGAAAATGAATCATTGCTGGAATAATGGGAATACTGCTTTTTTTTTTTAATGGAATATAACTGAAAGAAAAAACCTTTGAATGAGTCTGAACAAAAACCTGAAAAACCATTCAATGATGTTGGTCATGCTGAAGAAGAGGTCTTGAGTTTACAGGATATGTGTGGATAAATCATAGGGTTGAAGCCTATAAGCATTTAGGAAGACCCAGGGATTGAAATTGGGATC